GCTAGCAAGGGATATGAAGGGTAATAAGAAGGGTTTCTACAGGTATGTTAGCAACAAGAAGAAGGTCAAGGAAAGTGTGGGACCCTTACTAAATGGGGGAGGCAACATAGTGACAGATGATGTGGAAAAAGTTGAAGTACTCAATGCTTTTTTTGCCTCGGTCTTCACAGACTAGGTCAGCTCCCAGACTGCTGCACTGGGCAACACAGCATGGGGAGAAGGTGAGCAGCCTTCAGTGGTGAAAGAACAGATTAAGGACTATTTAGAAAAGCTGGACATGCACAAGTCCACGGGTCCAGATCTAATGCATCCAAGGGTGCTGAGGGAGTTGGCTGATGTGATTGCCGAGCCATTGGCCATTATCTTTGAAAATTTGTGGCGATCGTGGGAGGTCCCACAGTATTCTTGCAAGCAAGTTAAAGAAGAATGGATTGGCTGAATGGACTATAAGGTGGATAGAAGGCTGGCTAGATTGTCAGGCTCAATGGGTAGTGATCAATGGCTCGATGTCTAGTTGGCAGCTGGTATCAAGCCAAGTGCCCCAGAGGTTGGTCCTGGGGCTGGTTTTGTTCAACATCTTTATTAATGATCTGCATGATGGGATGAATTGCACCCTCAGCAAGTTCACAGATGACACTAAGATGGGGAGAGAGGTAGATATGGTGGAGGGTAGGAATAGGGTCCAGAGTGACCTAGACAAATTGGAGGATTGGGCCAAAAGAAATCTGATGGGGTTCAACAAGGACAAGTGCAGAGTCCTGCACTTAGGACGGAAGAATCCCATGCACTGCTACAGGCTGGGGACTGACTGGCTAAGCAGCAGTTCTGCAGAAAAGGACCTGGGGATTACAGTGGACGAGAAGCTGGATCTGAGTCAGAAGCTTGCCCTTGTTGCCAAGAAGGCCAACGTCATGTTGTGCTGTATTAGTAGAAGCATTGCCAGCAGATCGAGGGAAGTGATTATTCCCCTCTATTTGGCACTGGTGAGGCCACACCTGGAGTCTTGTGTCCAGTTTTGGTCCCCCCCACTACAGAGGGGTTGTGGACAAATTGGAGAGAGTCCAGTGGAGGGTAACAAAAATGATTAGGAGGCTGGGGCACATGACTTACGAGGAGAGGTGGAGGGAACTGGGGTTATTTAGTCTGCAGAAGAGACGAGTGAGGTGGGGTTTTGATAGCAGCCTTCAACTACTTGAAGGGGGTTTCCAAAGAGGATGGAGCTAGGCTGTTCTCAGTGGTGGCAGATGATAGAACAAGAAGCAATGGTCTCAAGTTGCAGTCGGGGAGGTCTATGTTGGATATTAGGAAACACTATTCACTAGGAGGATGGTGAAGCACTGGAATGGGTTACCTAGGGAGGTGGTGGAATCTCCAACCTTCGAGGTTTTTAAGGCCCAGCTTGACAAAGCCCTGGCTGGGATGATTCAGTTGGGGATTGGTCCTGCTTTGAGCAGGGGGTTGGACTAGATGACCTCCTGAGGTCTCTTCAAACCCTAATATTCTATGATGTCAAAATCTGTTAGTGTAAAATTAAACTTCATTCCATTTGGGGCCTTGCTGTTAATACAACTCCATTTTCCACTGATACTTAAATGTATGTTTTAATTAGGCCAAGGCTTTCTTCTGTTTGTTTGGCTCGGTAGTGGCTCTGCACTTGAATATTAATTGACTTGAAATTATAATTTTTTGTCCTGAAAATCAAAACAATTCAATTTTTGTCATTCCAGAGTCAAAAAAGTCAGAGAAAGGAGCATTCAGGTAGTTTGTTCTCTCTCTGGCAAAAATACTTATCTGCCATCTATATTCCTAGTGTGACAAAGTTCTGTCCTTGACTCCGTGGGTCCAGCGTTTCCTGACAGATCTTGCTAGCCTCAGAGGCTCACTGTGACCCTCCATGTAGCCCTTCTCTCTCTAGAGGCAAGGGTCACGTCTACTGAGCCATTTTCATCAGCCAGCAAGGGAGGTGAGGAGAAACAACCCTCCCTTGTACAGTCTCTGTTGTCTCCCAGTATCAGTGATTAATCAGGGAGGGGAGGGAGGAGCCCGGACCCGCTCTCTACTCCGGGCTGCAGCCCAGGGACCCTAAAATTAGCAGCTATGGAAGCTGACTTTTTGGAAATAGGATGAGTACAATTCCCTGGGCTACTTCCCCACAACAGCCCCCCCCCCCAACTCAATATCTTCTTCACAATTACCTCAGGGCCTCCTTCCTTGCACCTGATATGGATTCATAGTACTTAGTTCCTCCAACAGCACAGCTCCCTCCTATAGCTCCTGACACCCACCTCACATTGACTAACTGGGAGGCTTTTAACTAGTTCCAGCCAGTCCTTGATTGGCTTCAGGTGTCCCAATCAATCTAGCTATCTCCACTACCTTCTAGAAGGATCTTAATTGGCCCCAGGTGTCTTGATTAACCTGGAGCTACTGACATTTGGTTACCATGGTACCAGGGATTTGTTTAGCCTGGGGCTAACATACCTGTTCCTCACTACTTTACTGTAGCCATCTGGCCTTGCCCCATCACATATCCTCCCCCTCAACACCGTAGAGTTGGGCAACTTGGGATGCCAGGCAGTGTGCCTGTGACAGGCCATCAGCGTTGCCATGGTGGCATCCAACCCTGTGCCGTATGCGGAACTGGAACGGTTGGAGGGATAAGAACCACCTGGTGACCCTTGCTTTCTTTTCCTTATTCCACTGCATCCACTGGAGGGGTGCATGGTCCATCACAAGAGTAAATCGCCAGCCTAAGAGGTAATCGCGCAGTGTCTCCATAGCCCATTTGACAGTAAGACATTCTTTCTCAACTACTGCATATTTCTATTCTCTTGGGAGAAGCTTTCTGTTTAGGTAGAGGATCGGGTGTTCCTCTTCTCCCACCATTTGCGACAGAACTGCCCCCAACCCCACCTCGGAAGCATCTGTTTGTAAGATAAATTCCTTGTTAAAGTCTGGGGCTATGAGTATGGGGTCATTACAGAGGGCCGTCCGAAGGTCTATGAATGCCCTCTCTGCTGCATCGGTCCACTTCACCATGTCTGGACCTCGGGCCTTCACCAGGTCTGTTAGGGGACTTGCTATAGTGGTGAAATGGGGAATAAAACATTGGTAGTAGCCTATCACGCCTAGGAACACACGGACCTGCTTTCGGGTCAGCCGGGGCCAGTTTTCATTCACCTCTAGCTTATTCGTTTGGGGCTTCACTATGCCCCTCCCTACAATATATCCGAGGTACCTAGCCTCTGCTAGCCCTATGGCACATTTAGCAGGATTAGCAGTGAGGCCAGCCCACCTTAAGGTGCGCAGTACTGCCTCAACTTTCTCCAAGGGGATCCCCCAGTCTGGCGTATGGATGATGAAATCATCTAAGTATGCGGCTGCATAACTAGTATGGGGGCACAGCAGCTTATCCATGAGGCGCTGGAATGTGGCCGGGGCCCCATGTAGCCCAAAAGGGAGGACGGTGTCTTTTCTTTAGCTTCTTTGGTCAGGGGAATCTGCCAATACCCTTTTGTCAGATCCAATGTAGTCAGGAATCGGGCACTACCCAGTCGGTCAACCAGTTCGTCGATGCGTGGTATGGGATATGCATCGAATTGGGATACTTCATTCAGTCGGCGAAAGTCATTACAGAATCCCATGGTACCGTCAGGTTTAGGCACTAGAACAATTGGACTGCACCACTGACTGTAAGATTCTTCAATAACCCCTAATTCTAACATTTTCTTTACTTCGGCCTTGATTTCTTCTCTTTTGGCTGCTGGGATTCGGTAGGGTCTCAATGTTACCTTGGCTCCTGGGATCGTGCGGATATGGTGATAGGTCTCAGTCGTTCACCCCAGTTTTGTAGAGAACACATCTCAGTTGCGATTAATCATGTCAGCTGCCTCAATCTTTTGGATCGGCGTCAAGTCGGGTGATATCCTCACTTGCTCATGTAAGTTCTCCTCCTGGGGAAGGGTCTCCTGGGTGACTAAGCACGTCTCTCGATCATGCCAAGGCTTTAGAAGATTGATGTGGTAAATTTGCTCCGGTTTCCTGTGGCCTGGCTGCCGCATCTTATAGTTTACCTCTCTCATGGCTTTGATCACTTTGTAGGGTCCCTGCCACTGGGCCAACAGCTTACTTTCTGCTGTGGGCACCAGGACCATCACTCGATTCCCTGGTTGGAACCGCCGAAGCTTTGCTTGGTGGTTATAATGGGTTCGTTGGGTCTCCTGTGCCTTCTCCAAGTGTTCCCGTACAATGGGCGTAACTCGGGCTATCCGATCCCTCATCTGCAGTACATGCTCCACTATGTTCCTTCCGGGATTTGGCTCCTCTTCCAGGCGTCTCTGGCTATATCCAATATGCCCCGGGGGTGGCGCCCGTAGAGTAGTTCGAACGGAGAGAAACCTGTGGAGGCTTGTGGAACCTCCCTGATGGCGAACATGAGGTAAGGCAATAGGGTATCCCAATCTTTGCCATCCCAGCTCACCACTTTCCTGATCATGGCCTTGAGGGTCCTATTGACCTTTCCACACGGCCGTCTGTTTGTGGGTGGTATACAGAGGTCTGTAGGGCTTGTACATGGAGCAATGAACAGAGATCTTTCATCAACTTGGACACGAAAGGTGTCCCTTGATCAGTCAGTATCTCCTTGGGTAGCCCAACCGGGGAAAAGATCTATACTAGCTCCTTAGCTAGCGTCTTGGAAGCCGTGTTGCATAGGAGGATGGCTTCTGGGTATCGGGTTGCATAGTCTAGTACAACCAGCACATGTTGGTGGCCCCTAGCTGTCTTCTCTAGGGGCCCAATCAGATCCATGGCTATGCGTTCAAATGGTACCTCTATTATTGGAAGAGGTATCAAAGGGGCCCGCAAGTGCAGGCGAGGGCTATGTAGCAGACACTCTGGACAAGAGATGCAGTATCGCCGGACATCTTCATGTACTCCTGACCAGAAGAACCTCCGCAGGATCCTTGCCTGGGTTTTCTCTACCCCTAGGTGTCCTCCAAACAGGTGACTGTGGGTGAGGCTCAATATGGCTTTTTGGTGTTTTCGTGGCACCAGAAGTTGATGCATCTCCTGCTCCTGCATTTGCACCATGCGGTACAGGAGATCTTTTTTCACTATAAAGTAAGGTCCTGGACCCCGGATCTTCCCCTCCACTGGTACCCATCTATCTCAGCCACCTCTTTCCTGACGTTATCATATCTAGGGTCCTCTGCCTGGTCCCACCCGAAAGTCTCTCTCCCGGGACTAACCTGCCTGAGCTCCCAGGGGCCGGCTTCTGCTTCTTCCAACGGCTCACCGCCGTCATGGCTGGGGCCAGCCTCTGGTTCACCTACCGTGGTGGTAGTTTCTCTGATGGCAGCTCGTGTCCCTCTGCTTACTAGGGCGGTCTTCTGGCCCTGGGTCAGGATCCGGGTTCTCAAGGCCTTCGCAGCCTTCCTCTTTTTTGGTCTTCCGGGCCTTTTGGGGAGCTGAGAATAGATCCTGAGAAATCTCAGCGAACATTGGGGGTTGACATTCCCCCAATGATGAGTCGCTGCCATCAGGGTCCCCACTTCCCTCCAGCCTCTCCGGGGGGAGTAAATTATCAAACCCTGGATAGTCCCTCCCAATGACTACAGGATATGGGAGTTTAGGAACTACGCCCACTGTCACCTCAATGGGGTTCCCCTGAACCTCTATCTCCACTGGGATGGTGGGGTAATGGCTCACGGCCCCATGCACACACGTCACTGCTACACGTTTGGCTTGTAGCAGCTGGCTACTTTTTACCAGCTTACCCAGTATAAGGGTGATAGCACTCCCCGAGTCCACAAGCGCTGTAGTCTCTGCTCCATTTATCTTCACCGGCCTGGTGTAGTTATGCGGGGCAAATGTGACGCCTGCAAGGTGGATAAGAGAGCATGGGATCTCCCAATCCCCCAGGTTGCATTGCATAGGGTCCTCAGTGCTGGGACACTGTGCTGCTATGTGTCCCCACTCCCCACATGCATAACATCTATAATTGTTTCTAATCACTCCCCTATCACAGAGGTTAGGGGGTTTAGTCCCAGGGTTCCCCCCACTCAGGCCAATCCCTTCCTTCTGGGGTCCCCGCTGGTTTTCAGCCCCCCCCCCCTCTTCCTCCACCTAGGACTCCCCAGGGGTTTGGCTGTCCCACCTTCCAGGGTTGGGGTCGGGTGCTTGCTTAGAAAGGGGCCTTCCTTGGGTAGTCGGGTCAATTCCCTGGCTGTCATGCATCTTTCTACCAGCGTGATCATCTCATCATACCCATTTGCGGAGATCTGGTGGCAGTCCTCGCATGTAATGATCCATGACCAGGGTTTCCAAAATCTCCGGGCTGCACACTTCGGGCTGTAACCATTTCCGCGCAAGGTGTATGAGGTCGAATAGCTGGGACCTCGGGGGTTTGTTCTCCTGGTACTTCCACTCCATGAATCTCTGGGCCTGTACTGCGGCCGTCACCCCTGATTGTGCTAGGATCTCTGCCTTCAGTCGGGTATAGTCAGTGGCGTCCGTAGCAGGCAAGTCAAAGTGGGCCTTCTGGGCCTCTCCGCACAAAAAAGGGGCGAGAATGCTGGCCCACTGCTCCTGGGGCCATGTATCACGCTGAGCAGTCCTTTCGAATGAGAGGAGATATGCCGCTACGTCAGGGGTTGGCAACGTTCGGCACGCGGCTCGCCAGGGTAAGCACCCTAGCGGGCCGGGCCAGTTTATTTACTTGCTGACGCCGCAGGTTCGGCCGATCGTGGCCCCCACTCGCCGCAGTTCGCCGTCCCAGGCCAATGGGAGTGGCGGGAAGTGGCGCGGGCCGAGGGATGTGCTGGCCGTGGCTTCCCGCCGCCCCCATTGGCCCGGGACGGCAAACCGCGGCCAGTGAGGGCTGCGATCAGCCGAACCTGCCGCGTCAGCAGGTAAATAAACTGGCCTGGCCTGCTAGAGTGCTTACCCTGGCGAGCCGCGTGCCAAACGTTGCCGACCCCTGCTCTACGTCATCTTCTCATGTCATATTTGGCAGACAACCAGTGGCCCTCAAAGTTCGCGTCCCATCTGACCCCCGGGTCTGGGTGGTGAGGATCTTCAGCTGGTCCACTATCTCTCACGAGAGGGCACAATCTTGGGTTGCCTGGCCCATTAATAATTGATTGGTTTCTTGCTGTAGCCGCATGGACTCCTGTTGCGCCATTGCCTGAACCCGGGTGGCCACCTGCTAGGCTGCAGTGGCTTGTGCCAGAGTTCTTACCACCTCCTCCATTGTGATACAAACCAAACCAAAAAAAGAACCAAAAACAAATCCAAAACCCCAGTACTCTTTTTTTAACCTCTTTCTTCCGCCACGCTGTGAGGAATGATCCCACTTCTGACACCAGTTGTGACAAAGTTCTGTCTTTGACTCCATGGGTCCTGCGTTTCCTGACAGATTTTGCTAGCCTCAGAGGCTCACTGTGACTCTCCACATAGGCCTTCTCTCTCTAAAGGCAAGGGTTACAGTCTACTGAGCCATTTTCATCATAAGCCAGCAAGGGAGGTAAGGAGAAACAACCCTCCCTCGCACAGTCTCTGTTGTCTCCCAGTATCAGTGATTAATCAGGGAGGGGGGAAGGAGCCCAGACCCGCCCTCTACTCTGGGCTCCAGCCCAGGGACCCTAAAATTAGCAGCTATGGAAGCTGACTTTTTGGAAACAGGACGTGTACAATTCCCTGGGCTACTTCCCCACAGCAGCCCCCACTCAATATCTTCTTCACAATTACCTCAGGGCCTCCTTCCTTGCACCTGATATGGATTCGTACTACTTCGTTCCTCCAACAGCACAGCTCCCTCCTATAGTTCCTGACACCCACACCGCACTGACTAACTGGGAGGCTTTTAACTAGTTCCAGCCAGCCCTTGATTGGCTTCAGGTGTCCCAATCAATCTAGCTATCTCCACTACCTTCTAGAAGGATCTTAATTGGCCCCAGGTGTCTTGATTAACCTGGAGCAACTGACATTAGGTTACCATGGTACCAGGGATGTGTTTAGCCTGGGGCTAACATACCTGTTCCTCACTACTTTACTGTAGCCATCTGGCCTTGCCCCATCACAATAGCTTATTCACCTTAATCAAGACTTGCAGAAAACAAGCTGCTGGTGCTTAATTGAAGGGTTGAGGGTGGTGAAGCACTGGAATGGGTTACCTAGGGAGGTGGTGGAATCTCGTTCCTTAGATGTTTTTTAGGTCAGGCTTGACAAAGCCCTGTCTGGAATGATTTAGTTGGGAATTGGTCCTGCTTTGAGCAGGGGATTGGACTAGATGACCTCCTGAGGTCCCTTCCAACCCTGATAGTCTATGATATTCTATATTCTCTGAATTCATAATTAGTCTTTCTTTGTCAGAGATGATCACTGTCTAGCTGATGCGGAATTTTTTTCCACTCTTGATGAATTATCTTCATACTAAGCCAATATAAACCTGAAAATAAATACAGATTGTTTTTAAAATGTATGTAATAGAGATAAGAATCAATCTGATCTCAGGGCTTTTCCTTTTTAGTGTGCAGGAGTAGAGCATCTTTGTTTTAAAGATCATGCGTGTGTGTCATTATGGGTACTTTAGACATTAAACCGTAAGATGATTTTTATCAGTTTTGGTAAGTAATCATTTATTTTTACCTTATATAATTTCATTGGTCCTTTTGTCAATTTACATTATTCTTTTATGAAGCTTTTCAGTTTTACCATTCTAAAAATATCTGATTACAGCGAATGTACTTACCTCTTAAATAACTTACGTAGCTAGTAAAAATAATGAACACATTGTGTTCATATATGACTTCATGTTCTGCCAGACTTTTGTACAAAATGTTAATTATATATTTGATTTTTCAGGTACTAAACAAAGTGTCCTCTCTTTTTGGAAACATTTTGGTAAATAACTTTTTTTTTTACATGATGGATCATTGTGGTAAAGGTTTTTATGATGAAATCAAGCTGAGCCCAGCAAACATTTTCATCAAACATTGGCATCTCCCTAGATCTAGTTGCAATCCCTTTATTTACCTATTTATTGTGTGGCAACCAGTCCAATGAGGCCCAGCCTAGTTACAGATTATACTATAGGTTTAATAAGTAAAGGACAATTGCAACTTGATATCACTTATTTTAAGCACAGACCTGACGTTTTTGGCAAATACATTTTTGGCAAAGACATTTTGAAACGAGGGACAAACATTAATGACCAGATTCTACTCTTGTGTACATTATTGGAAATCTGAAGTGGCTTTTTATATTCCGTTAATTAGTGAAATGAAAGGAGCCATGGTGTAATTTATATTAGAAGCAGACCCTAAATTTTTGTTACTTTTCAATCATTTTGAAACAAGTGGTAATGTTTGTCAATTTACCCCTCAAGTGTATCAACTTTTAATAAAGCAGTTTGGAAACTCATAAAATAAGTTACTTAACTCACTCTTTAAAAACAAGCAATATCGGCATTCACTTCTTCGGTATTTCTAGTATTTTAACTATGTCACTTCATCAATTAGGGGGCTGGAGCACATGATTTATGAGGAGAGGCTGAGGGAACTGGGATTGTTTAGTCCAGTGCTTCTCAAAGCCGGTCTGCCGTTTGTTCAGGGAAAGCCCCTGGTGGTGCGGGCCAGTTTGTTTACCTGACGCATCCACAGGTTCGGCTGATCCCGGCTCCCAGGAAGTGGTTGCCGGCACATCCCTCGGCCCGCGCCACTTCCACAGCCCCCATTGGCCTGGAGCAGCGAACCACAGCCAGTGGGAGCCACGATCGGCCAAACCTGCGGATGCAGCAGGTAAACAAACTGGCCCGGACCGCCAGGGGCTTTCCCTGAACAATCGGCGGCCTGACTTTAAGAAGCACTGGTTTAGTCTGCAGAAGAGAAGAGTGAGGGGGGATTTGATAGCTGCTTTCAACTACCTGAAAGGGGGTTCCAAAGAGGATGGATCTAGACTGTTCTCAGTGGTACCAGATGACAGAACAAGGAGCAATGGTCTCAAGTTGCAGTGGGGGAGGGTTTAGGTTGGATATTAGGAAAAACTTTTTCACTATGAGGGTGGTGAAGCACTGGAATGCGTTACCTAGGGAGGTGATGGAATCTCCTTCCTTAGAGGTTTTTAAGGCCCGGCTTGACAAAGTCCTGGCTAGGATGATTTAGTTGGGGATTGGTCCTGATTTGAGCAGGGGGTTGGACTAGATGATCTCCTATGGTCCCTTCCAACCCTGATATTCTATTAATTGAAACAGGGTCATGGCTAGTGAAACACTAATGTTCTGTATTTGTTGGGATTTTTGCCTTTATATGAATAATCTTTTAAAATTCAGCTGATATTGTCAGTTTGCTCTTTTCTGATGTATTACTGGCTCCTGGAAGATTGCTGTTCTGATAAAATTAAGTGACCATACTCTACAACTACTATATTTCAAACAGAAACAAAAAAAAGTTACCGGCTTAATAGTGTTTTTTTTTGTAATTATGGACTGAGATTTGTAGTCCAATAAAATTTTAGATTGGTAACAAATGTTCAATGATTGACAAATATTATTACACTTGAAAGGGGGAAAACAAATTAAAAGGACATTAGTACATTGACCTAGCTACGCACAGGAATGTACTTTATTGCCTGACTTTGTTATCTCGTGCATGCCAACATCTGGGCATCTCTTTAGTTTATATTACTGTAATCTTCTGTGATGGGGAAGGGTTATTGGGAAGGTGGGAAGCTCCAATCCCGCTTTGGTTGTATTACAGCTCTGTCTGGATTCAGGCAGTCTCGTGTCATGCAGGAATTTCTGACCAGCCTGTTGCCTGATGATCCTCTCTTGAGAAAGCATGGCAGGAATCTGTCATTCTGCAGAATATCAACCTTATCCTATGCCTGTTGATGGGGGAATCTTCTATGCTTTTGTGTCAGGCACACCGTGGGTAGTTAGTAACTGTGAAACAGTTATGGTTATTAATTGTCTAGGATGTTCTAATGTTTATGCAAGGGTTATGCGTTGGGTGAGGGCTGTGGTTCTAGAGCGGTGTCACAAGTGCAGCTGCTAACATCCCAGTACTGACTAACTTGGGCTCCTCAGCAGTTTGGATTCTCATACCACCTTCAGTCTTTTTCTGAGTGGGATGCACTGTCAAGGCTACTATATAAGCCTCTGCATGCTTTTTTGTTGCTTGACTCTGCACCCCACACCTACTCCTCTGGTCCTGGTTTGGAACTGTCTCAAAGCATCTTCAAAGCATCCCTTTGGAGATGAACTTGGAGGATCGGCTGACTTGACCTCAGGTGCTTCCCTCACCTCAAATCCAGATGTTTTGGAAGGATATAATTCAGGGCCCTCTTCAGCTGCGCAAGTGGCCCTACATATTACATGAAAGCCCAGTTGGGGGCTGGAAACCCAGCTCTGACCTTGGCGCCAGCACCTTACCATTCCCAGCACCTATGACTCATCTGGTGCCAACACAACATTCTTTACCAGTGCCAATGCACTGCTTAAGTGACTTGGTTTAAGGCTCACCTTTAGTCGAACTGGGGAAGTTTTTTTGTAGACAAGGCCTGAAACACGTGAATTAATTCATCCACACAGATATGCAGCTATCTCTG